ACTTCAGCCAGGTCACAATCTCGCGGTCTGTGAGTTCGAGCCCCGCGTCAGGCTCTGGGCTGATGGCTCAGAGCCTGGAGCCTGTTTCCGATTCTGTGTCTCCCTCTCTCTCTGCCCCTCCCCCGTTCATGCTCTGTCTCTCTCTGTCCCAAAAATAAATAAACGTTGAAAAAAAAAATTAAAAAAAAAAAGTGGGACTTAATAAAAATACCAGAGAATGTGTCCTTTCCTGACCTTTCACCCCCATGACAGCAAACCTTGAGTAAAAGTAACCATGGAATAGAGCTGAGAGAGAGCCAGAGATAGACTTTCTCTGGGGAGCAGAACAACGGAAGCCTCGAAGACAAGGGAAGGGACCAAGGCAAAGCACAACTAAAGAATTTTTAAGTGTCTGGACTCTGGCAACAACACATTTCAACCCTGATAACTTAGCGACAACCAACTCCAGATCCGGTCTAACTCCTGCCTAGTTAACCCAAACCCCCACACTAAAGGCCGAGCAGAAGGAAAGGTGTGCTGGTTTTCAAGCACAAAACGTATTTACCTCAGTATCCACTCTACCAGAGCACGTGGCCAGCTTCCAACCAAACACTCGGAGGCATACAGCAAGTCGAGAGGAAACACAGTGTGAGGGCCCAGAGCGGTCACCAGACCCAGACTGAGACATACTACAGATAGATGGTGGAAGTATCAGGAATTTAAAATAACTATGATTAATATGTTCAAGGCTCTAATCCAATAGAGAGATGGACAATATGGAAGATCAAACGGGTAAATTCACAGAAAATTATGGAAAGTTCCAAATGGAAACTATGGGAAAGAACCAAAAGGAAAAGCAAAACTCAAAACTACAGCAACAGAAATGAAGAACGCTCTGAGAGGCTCACCAGTGGATATAAGAGATGTAAGGAGAGAATTAGTTCAGATAAATATAGGACACTGGAAATTACCCAAACTGCAATCTGCAATGGAAGGACGAAAGAGACAGAGAGACAGAGAGACAGAGAGAGAGAGAGAGAGAGAGGAAGCAGGTAATCAAAACTCACGGAAGAGAACTCGAAGAACTGCCCCTCTCTCTCTCCCTCTCCCACTCTCTGTGTTAAACCATAAAGGACTTTAGTCCTTTAACAAGAAAATGGTTTCTTTACACCAATATCATTGGATGGTAAAAATCACCCAGCGGTCAGAGAAATCTGCTGATAAAGTGGGTTAATAGCCCTGGTTTGCAGGACTTTTGGGATAAATACTGTGGGTTCTTAGCTGTGTGCTCAGAACACCCCTTCCTCTTACGGCAACAGCCACCAGATCTGCGCGGTGATCAGCCCCGTATTCAACCACCTTTCCTGACAAGTGCTGGCAGAACATGCCTCCTGTCCCGGATGGTCCTGGTGGCCTCCCTTGGCAGCTGTGAGTGGCTTTACCCACGGGGTGTTTCACTCAGTAAAGAAAGCTGGTGTTAAGCATGGACAATCTAGTCAGCAGAAGCTGCCCACATGGTCATTCAAACTAACCTGACAGATTCCACCATGACCTTGAATTCTTCAGGAAGAAAACGTAAATCTTAGACCCCAACTTTTCTATTAATAGAGAACAAATGTGTACTATTTTAGTGAATGTCAAAATTTCGCTAATTGTTGCTTTTGTTTCTCTTTTAGATACAAATGGCGACATTTTAATAACACATCTCATACCATCCATTACCAAGAAAAAGGACACACAGCATTTTTATTTATTTATTTTTTGTTTATTTTTATTCTTGACATAGAGACTGAGTGTGAGTGGAGGAGGGGCAGAGAGAGAGAGAGAAAGAGAGAGGGAGACACAGAATCCAAAGCAGGCTCCACGCTCGGAGCTGTCAGCACGGAGCCAGATGCAGGGCTTAAACTTGTGAACCACAAGATCATAACCTGAGCCAAAGTTGGATGCTTAACTTACTGAGCCACCCAGATACCCCAAGGATCACAGCATTTTTAGAATGCCAAATAACAGGTGTCTTAAAGATAAATGTATAATAGGGGCGCCTGGGTGGCTCAGTCGGTTCAGTGTCTGACTTGTGATTTTGGCTAAGGTCATGATCTCACAGTTCATAAGATCCAGCCCCATGTTGGGTTTCATGTTTACAGAACCTGCTTGGGATTCTCTCCCTCCCTCTCTCTCTGTCCCTCCACACTCTCGCTTTTTCTATCTCTCTCAAAATAAATAAATAAACTATGTAAATATAATTGTAAGTGGACGCAGTATATTTCATGGAAATATAATAATTATTTACTTTTCTTCTACTTTCAGACATTTCGATTTTTTTCTGATTTTTAGAAGGAAAATGTACATAATGGAAAACAAGTATTATTTTGTCAGAGATATTTCCTGAAGAAATAACTACAGAATGTAATGACAAGGTCAAATGTGCATTTGTGCAGGTCAGATCAGCTTCCTCTGTGTTTGTTCTGAGAATGGACCAAATGACAGAAGTGCCACCAGGAGGGGCTTAGGAGGCTGAATTTTAACCAGAAAGAGTTTCTTAAGGTGGAAAAAGAGTTGAGGAGGGTCTGCAAAATTATGGCCTTTGGACTAAACCTCAGGAACTCAGTGGTGTGGTCACAGTTTAGAATATCCTGTCTCAGGAGGGGAGCCCCAGATACACCAAGTCCACTGATGATGCCTGAGTTGAATGTCAGTATATAATTTGCCCTGGGAGAGAACTCTTTCCTACACATGCTGGACTTAACCAGTAACGTGTGGTCCATGTTCATGGAAGCCAAGGCTCACCCAGAAACTGGCTCTTGATAACAGACCAAGAGGAGTGAAGTCTATGGTGTGAACATGCTGTGAATTCCATCTGTTGAAGCCAAATCCATAATCTCTACAATAGAGCTTTGTTTCCCCAGGCACTGGGCACATTGGATCCCAGGACTGGGCACCCTGTCTGTACTGTGCTTGGGATGGGTCGGGGTGGGGATGCTTGCTGTTTGTGCTCATGTGGCTGCACAGCCCTCCTCTGCTCAACCCCCAGCACACTTTTACCTCCCGTGCATGTCTTCTATTGAGCCGTGCTCAGCTTGACTCTCCAGTCATTTGTCCCTGTAGAGGGACTTAGATGATTCAGTACATGACATTCAGTTACACAGTTGAACTCAAGGCCTCCATATGTCTGTGTTGTTGTGAGGAAGGAAGCCCCTCCTTATCACCCTGTCTACACTCTACCTGTGCTAACAGCTTCACGTGCCCAGTCTTCTGTCACCCTGCCTACACTGACAAAATTAGATGGGAAGTATGAGCCCCGGTAAATCAGACACCATGAAAAAGTGCAGATCATTGGTGGAATGTCAGGATTACCTAGGGTGACAAGAAGTCTGTGTGCTAGTCCATCAGAAGAGTGTCATCAGAGTGGACTGAAGGTACAGTGTCTGAACAGTCCTGGTCATATGACTTGCAACTCATGAAGCAGCTACTTGGAATGAACTTGGTATACAATAGGGGAACCCCTCACCCACAGAATAAGAGTATGTTTGGCAGCAATCGTATGCGTGTGTGCAGATGGATTTTTCTTTCATTAGCTGTGACCTTTTGGAAGTGAGCAAAGTTGGCTGTGGTGTAACTGCCCCTATTTTATCATGCAGCACCCCAGCCACCGCTTGCATAGCCCCAACCAGTAGGGGCCGGTTTGACTTCAAGCCTTTTCCACGAATCAACCACATTTGACAGAGCACATAGACCAGAAAAACCCTGAGAAAACAAAACACCAGCGCCCTCCTGCCCCCCACACTGTCCCCTGCACCACCGCCCTCCCCCTCTCTGCACCTGCCAGTGCAGAGCAGAGCCCGCAGGGCTGCCCAGGTCGGGTTGGGGAAGGGAGGGACTGAGGATTGGAAGCCACAGGGGACACTGGCTAGGAGTGCCCAGCACTAAAATCAGCCCACACGGCTTTCAGTCATTTGCTAGTTTCCCCTGTTTGCCTCTGTGCTTTCCACATGCAGAAACAGTTCCAGATCTCTACGTAGAGGCCCAGGCACTCGGCCTAAAGAAGTCTGATCAAACTCCCAAAAATCAAGGAGTAGATGGAAATTAAATTTTCTCTTTCTTGTATCTGGTGGATCTTATGTTGTTTCCACAGAGGCTCGTCTATTCGTTTTTCAAAAGCAGCTATTTCACAGAAACTGAAGCTGATTGCAAATAAAGAAAAGATCCTCCCCATTTTTAAATGAGACATTGTTTTCATTCTCAGATATAAAATTTTTTACTTTAAATGCATTCATTAGCACAAATGGAAAAAAAATAAACAGTCATTTATTCTTTTCCCCACCTACCACATCCTGAACATTTTGTTTTATACCCATGTTTGTAGAAATGTATGCACACATATAAATGAGTGTCATACTTCGTGTGTGTATGTGTGTGCATGTATGTATTATTTCTAAAGTAGAGCTGCATCAGTAGATGAAAATGCTGTTGACCACTTCATGTGCCCAGCATAATTATCTCATCTCATCCATACGACTCCAGGAGACGTGTCACTCTAAGTCCATTTTACAAATGAGAAAATTATGGCACGGGGAGTTCAAGGAACTGTAGACCCAAGATTTAAACCCAGGCACTTAGGGTTCAGAGTCCAAACACTTAACCCCTCCACCACCCTACCTTTCCAGTGTTAGTGCAGCTTTCATGCGGTTCTTGTGACATCAGGAAACATGGTGCACGTGTGACACGGGTCCAGGTCTGACACACCCACCAGTCACATGACATGTGATACTGTCACCACCAGAATGTCTTAAACCAAGGAGTCTGAATCTGCTGATCTTTGAAGAAGAAATAACCTGGACACCTTCACTGGCCAGTGTCCCCCAAAAAAAAACATCATAAAGACTCTTTCAGGGCAAGAATTAGAAATGTGGAATTGACCATGATTAGAACCAATGCTGAATTTCTAGGCCCAGTTGTCATGCTGTCTCTTACCTTGGACTCTCAGTTTGAGGAGACCAAATGAAAGAATACAGAGACAAGAGTAGAGTCTTGATTATTTTACTTGTTCTTTTTAGGAAAAACAGTACAGAATTCATTAACAAAGATAGAGGCCTCAGGGTGTGTAAATTAAAAGGCTTCAAGGAAGTCATCTTGTTAAAGAGCCCCAGGGGACATGCCTGGGAAGGTGCCTACTGGCTTTTAGGGATAACAGCCAACAGAAAAAGGTGGACCTTTTGTGCCACCATGTGTTAGGAACTCTTCCCATTACCAAAGAGTGTGGGTTTCCCAAGCAGATTGACAGTGATAATGGCAGAAGAGACCATGCTCTTGAGGAGGAGCAGGAGGTAAGTATAGTAGGCAGAGTTGTTCACGAGATGCAGATGCAGGGCATCTAAAAAGAAACCATTTATTAATTTCACCTGCTCTTTTGAAAGGCTAGGACTTATTAATGGGAGCGGGGTCACATTATACATTTCCAATGATCTGGGTTGAATTGACTCTCCTACACCAATACAACCCAGTTGTAAAAACATCTACACCATCATCAGCACTACCACCACCACAAAGACAACTCAGAATCCAGCTTGCAGGTCAAATCAATCAACAATCTCTGCAAAATTCACTTAGAACTTTCCAAAGTATGAATGGTAAGGTTGCATTTTTAATGAATGGATCCAGTGGTGGGGGGGGGGGGGGGAAGCATTGGTGATAAATAGCTTTTAGCTTCTTGACCCCGCCTCTGTCTCAGAGTAAGAATAACAGCCAATATACATTGGCCACAAACTAAACACCACTGACTTTGAGAGATTTCCACGCAAAATGTTAATCTTATTTAACTTTTCAATAACCTATGAGATTATTATTCTTATTCCCGTTTTATGAATAAATTGAAGACAGAGAAGTAATTTGCCTGATCTTATACCATTAGTAGGTACCCGCAACATGACATTTAAGCAATATTTTCAGCTATGCTGTAACTCCGCATCTCCACATGCAGTAAGTACCCATCAAATGATTAGCACAAATATAAAGAAGACTTGCTTATTTTGAAGGATATTAGCCATTACATGTTGTGCATTCAGTGAGATTCCTAGGAATCCTTGGAAATTTGGTGGTGTTCACAGTGGGGTGGGTGAAAGTTTTTTGTAAAGAGGACATTATATGAAAAGAAAGAAAGGGGTTAATCCAAAATCTCTGAAACTTTAGGAGGTCATGGCTTATTCATCTGTCTTTCTTGAATGTCTCCTTGTAGCTATGATATTGTAGGAAAATAGCTTTTATTATCCTCTGAAGTTTAGAAAGAAATATATGTTGAAATAATTAATGACAACGATGGTGGGACAGGCTGACTACTCAACGAACAACAAGGCCAAGTCTGTTCCTATGGAAATTTACTTTACATGCTTTATCTCTAGAGTTAAGAACTCCAGAATTATTCCCCCTTGGTGTGGAAGGGACCTCAAGTGGTGATACGCTCATAACTCCTTACCCTTAGTCAGGTAATATGTTACATAGGGTCCAGAGGCCCCTTGATATTGGACATGGAAGGCAGACCAGCAGGGCTAGAGTCAATGCTCCTCATCACTTTCTTGGTACATATGTTGGGAGAAAGGGCCAGAAACCAGTACTTACAATGTGTCAGCTAAATGAGACACCCAATACTAGACATTCCACATATGGGACCTTATGTCTTCAGTAACTCAGTTAGGTGTTATTTGTGTTATCCCTGCTTGGGTTAGAAAATGTCAGTAATGTACCCACATTCGTGCAACCAATAATTAAAAGACTGGAGTTAAAGTCAGTCTGTGGCACTTGAAGTCTTGCACTCACCCCCCCACCCCGCCCCCATGTGTGCACCTGTCTCAAGGCCTTGGCTTTGGGATTTAGAGGAAGAATAAAAACTGAGTAAGTGTATGAGCTCTTGATTCAGATGCTCTTGGTAGAAGACCCAGATCTCTCTGTGTCGCATTGTGCAAGGGACTTAATTAATTTCAGCTCATTGCCATAATGTGTAAAGTGGTAATAAAATCCTTCATAGCGAGTATTAAAAGAATCAGACAAAATGTACTTCCAGGGCACACCATGCCTTCTGTACAATAACCCCTCTGTGTTAGTTCATGTTATTGACTACTAGCAAGAGCAAAGACTCAAAACAAGAAATCTAGAAGCAAGCTGATGTCCTCAGTCATTAGAAACAAAGGCCACAGAAATGAATGAAATCCATTGTTGAAATACTTCAGAGGCCCTTGTTGCACTCCTAATTTATAGTCCTCTCATTCCCAAGCCAGGATGTACTGTGTGAAGACGACTCCTGGGGAATTATGGGTTGACTTAAAATATCACTCAGTCTTTTTGCAAGATCCTGCCATTGTGAGATTTCTATCTGAAGCCAGGGAAGTTCAAAATGTAAGTTTATCAGGAGGAAAAAATGCTATAGCATAACATAAAGGCAAACATATAGAAAAACTTACCATTTTCATCCTTCAGAGAAGCTTCTGTAGAGTGAATAGCAGTGAGATCTAAAAAAAATGAGAGTAAGTATTATTCCATTGTTCATATCCATTATTTGACACGTGTGTGTATTGTGGATGGATGGATGGATGGATGGATAGATAGATGCAATTTGTCAACAGAGAGGAGAGAGGAATTACAAGTATGAGCCCTGAAATTCCAGAAACGGCTGGACTGATTCTATGTAATTCAGTAGATCAATTCATATGTTGTATTTCTGCACATGAACATGCTGAAGTTCATGAATGATGGATTTGTATCTTTTTTCCTCACAACTAGAGGGTCCTTTTTAAGATTATCGTGTTTTCCTTTTGCGCTTGTATCTCCTAGCTACAATGCCTGCCACAAAGTAGGTATTCTGTAAATACTCATTGAATGGAAAAATAACCAGAAACAGTGGCTGCTATATGGTCATCAGCACCCACTGTTGACACGAAGTGTTGCTACCAAAGTAAATTCGTAGACACTAGAAACCACAGTAGAATCTTACACATTGGAAGAAGTCTGGTTTAGGTGGATTTCCTGTCTAAGGAAAGAAAGCAGCCCTACCTTTCAAAGCATACATGCCCCACTATCCCCAGATCCGGCACTCGATTTTCTGGAGTGGAGGTATTTACGGATGTGACAGCAATGCTGATGAAAGTCAATACCTATTGAGTGATTATCACTGTGCCAGGCACTATATGAAAGGTTCACATGCATTGTCTCATCCGATCCCCCAGTGACACTGATGTGAACTTAACATGGAGGACTCCATGTTGCACACAAAGAGATAAGGTTTAGAGAATGTAAGGAACTTGCTAACAGTCATACCAGTCACCAGCAGAGCCAGCACTCAGAGGACACTCTGGGGGTTTAGATAAGCTAGAGTGTGTGGAAAGTATCTTGTAAAACAATCCATAGCAATAGAACATAACTCTGGGGCACCGGTGTGCACAGTTGGCTAAGTGTCTGACTCTTGGTCTCAGCTCAGGTCATGATCTCACCGTTCGTGGCTTTGGCACAGAGCCTGTTTGGGATTCTCTCTCTCCCTCTCTCTCTCCAACCCCCCTGCCACTTGCTCTCTGTCTCTTTCAAAATAAATAAATAAACTTATAAAAAAAGAGAAACAGAACATAACTGCACCGTCGTGGACTCTCCGACATCATCTCTTCCAGTGTCTTAATTACTCTTAGCAAATGACCTTTTAATTATAGAAGTTCAGCATTTCAGTGCACTTCCTTGCAGGGATAGAATGATAGGCCAAATCATATTAATAGCTGTCTGGATGTATAAAACCTGAGGTGAGGGTTGTATTTATCTACAGTGTTAAAAAAAAAAGTACAACATATGTACAAGGACAAAATTTGTTAAAAAGATCAGGGACTATTGGATAGAGGAACAAAGAGTTGAAAGGCTGTTTTAGTCTATCTTTTTTTTTTATTTTTTTAAAAAATGTTCATTTATTTTTGGGAAACAGAGAGACAGAGAGTGAGCAGGGGAGAGGCAGAGAGAGAGAGGGAGACACAGAACGCAAAGCAGACTCCAGGCTCTGAGCTGTCAGCATATAGCCCAATGCAGGGCTCTAACTCAAAGACCATGAGATCATGACCTAAGCCAAAATTGGTCACTCAACTGACTGAGCCACCCAGGTGCCCCTAGTTTGTCTTTTTTCTAATTGATGTGTTCTTGTCCACACATACATGGTCCTTGTATGCAATTTTATGCACTCCATACAATCATATTTTGGTGCACTCTTAAAAAATGAGTTTGACAAAGGACACAAAAATACTGATTCGAAGGGGCACATGCACCCCAATGTTTATAGCGGTGCTATCGACAATAGCCAAAGTATGAAAAAGAGCCCAAATGTCTATTGACTGACAAATGGATAAAGAAGATGTATACACACACACACACACACACAAACACACACACACACAATGGAATATTACTCAGCCTTCGAAAAGAATGAAATCTTGCCATTTGCAATGACATGGGTGGAACTAGAGTGTATTTATACTAAGTGAAATAAGTCAGTCAGAGAAAGACAAATACCAGATGATTTCACTCATATTTGGACTTTAAGAAACAAAACAGATGAACGTATGGAAAGGGAAAAGAGAGAGAGAGAGAGAGAGAGAGAAGCAAACCATCAAACCATAAGGGACTGTCAACTATAGAGAAGGAACTGAGGGTTGATGGAGGGAGGTGGGAGCGGGATGGGGAAATGGGTGACGGGCATTGAAAAGTGCACTTGTGATGAGCACGGGGTGTTGTATGTAAGTGATGAATCACTAAATTCTAGTCCTGAAGCCAATTTTACCATATACGTTAGCTAACTAGAATTTAAATAAAACCTTGAAATTAAAAAAAAAAAAATGGATGGATTTGAGGTATAGGCTTTGGGAAAAATCTCCAAGAAGGAAAATGTTAGTATAATTATGTTAAATGTTAAAAAATCCTCAAGAGCTGATTTTAAAGTGCTTTAAAAATCTCTTTCTTTTCCATACAATGATTTTATTCATCATATTGTGCACCTGAAACTAATGCAACACTGTATGTTAACTAACAGAAATTCAAATGAAAAGGTAAAAAAAGATAAATAAAATCTGTTACCCTGCATTGATCGACATAAAGACAGTAAGGTAACAATGTTCATAATAAATTTGTGTGTGTGTGTCCTAGGTGCTCTTTCTCAATCCAGGTTGGTCGAAAACGTGGACAAGATGTGTTTAATCTCTCTTCAGAATCACTTCATTCTTTTGTGCTTTCATGTGTATGTATACATATAAAATATACAAGCTTTGGGGCACCTGGGTGACTCAGTTGGTTAAATGACCGACTTCGGCTCAGGTCATGATCTCGCAGTTTGTGAGTTCGAGCCCCACGTCGGGCTCTGTGCTGACAGCTCAGAACCTTGAGCCTGCTTCAGATTCTGTGTCCCTCCATCTCTCTACCCCTCCCCTGCTCACGCTCTGTGTCTGTCTCTCAATAATAAACGTTAAAAAAAATTTAAAAAATATATAAGCTTTAATCAAAAACAAAAACAACAAGCAAAAACTTTCCAAGAAACAGCAATAGAAATTTTCTAGAATTGCATTAACAGAAATGTCCTCTTCCTTACTTCTCCCTTACCGTAATCATCACCATGGAACTTTAAATACATTTTACATTTCTCTGATCACTAGAAAATTGAAACCTCACAGGACACTTCAGCCCAGTGGTTACGTTAAATTTATGCTTTGCTCATTTGGTTCCTGCCTGTTTCTTAGCCATAAAAAGTTATGGCTGTCTATGTGATCTTACTTTAATTAAGTTTTAGGAAAGAATATACATAAATGCAATAAATATATGAAAAAATTCATCCATATCATGTTTCCAACAGCAAGGATTGTCATCAAGATAATTTCATTCGCTCTTCATCACCGACCAGGTGAAAGCAAAGGTTTGGCCCTAGTTTGATCATTGGACGAACTAAGAATCTGTCAAATAACAAAAATTCAACCAAATAAATGTTAAAGACCTAACTGGCTGTGTTAAGTGATCTATTCATGAATCAGAGAGCATCGTATCCAGCAAGTAGAGGGGAGCTTGGAAGGGCTGCAGGAGTGGGGAAGTTTTTTCAGATAGAGAGGGAGTGAAAAAGAAATTATTAGCAAAGAACATTGTTTTAGGCAAAGGGACCAGAGTCGATCAGTAAACTCCCTAGTGCGAGCCAGGAAATGTCCATGTTCCCTGGTTTAAGGCTACATTTCTGGGGGTTGAAACTGCAGCTAGGCAGGGATGAAGTCTTGGTTTACTGGTTTGGGGCCTTAAGTTGAGTGAGGCCATTTTGAGCCTGTGGTTTTCTTTTTAACAGCCCTGCCTTTTGATCAGACTCCCGGTTTAACTTAACGGAGGAATCACAATTGAAGGCATTAATCACACTCAGCAACCTCTCTGAGGTTCTCACAGTTTTTGTGGTTGCTCTTGTGATATTCACAGGTCTTGACCTTTTGGCCTGTGAATGTTCACAGGTTACCACTTCAACTTTACAGTTTTTGAGTTGGTCATTCTGTTCTCTTTGTTTCTTTGTTTCTTTCTTTTTTTCTTCTGACATTCTAATCTTAGAGAGATCATTAGTTTGCAGGTTACCAGCTCCGAACTTGCATTTAAAGCTTTTGAGAGAACATAAGGCACCAGACAGCGTATTGTGATTACAATAAACAGGATAATTCTTCATGTTTGGAGTGCAATTTGAAGCCATGCTTCCCAAGGCTCAAAGCAATGAAAATCACATAAGTAATAAAGACCTTGCGGAAGGAATCATTCATTTAGGCCAAGTGGCTTGCTCAGGGATTGAATGCCATTGACTTTTAACTTCCCCAGAAGTGTTAATCCGGGAATAGCAGGCAGTGTTGGCTACAGCACAGACCCAGCCTTGCTCAGCTAAGAGATCATCAAGGGCTATCTTATTTTCAAGAATTACTTTGGCCAGGGTCTAAGGATTTTTCTTGGGCAGCCATTGCTTTAGTAAGAGATTCTGCACCAATTTTCAGAATGAAACAGAAGGTCTTGATCACATCTCCCTTACATTGATCCCTGACCAGGGAAGTAAGGCCCAGCCGAAGGAGTGAATCCTGGTCGTGAAAACTTCCTGGGAGGTCCCTTCTAACTCAGGATGTAAATTGAGGGACGTCAACCAATGAGATGTCTTATTTAGCTTGAGAAAAGTTAAGACCAGTGTTAGATTTTCTCCCAGCCGGAAATAAAAGGCTGCTCTCAATTCCAGAGTTCACCCCCCTTGGCTGTGACCTGGGAGATACAGATGAGGGAGTTATCTTTCCAGGCCGTTCGTTGGAAAGAAAAGAAGGCGAAAAGGTTTCACATTTGGTTGAAGTGTGAGATCTTGATCCATTGTCTTGGGCAAAAACACCCTACCTGCATGTCAGCTACATCACTTTCTTTCAGTTTGACTCAGAGATGTCCAGTGTCTGTGTAAGACCCAGTGACAGGTGGAGACTTCTGTAGCTGTGTGATGTGCACC